GCAACCCCGGTGTAGCAGCAGCAGCAGCAGCAACAACAACAGCAACTCGGCTCGGCCGGGACGCTCCGCGGCCGCCTTGCTTGCAAAAACGCCGCCGCCGCCGCCGCTGCTAATGCAGCTGTTGCAGCTGTTTCCAGGCGCCGCTGGCTCGGCCCGCCCGGCTCATCTAGACCCGGTGCAACCTCCGCGGGAAATGGGCGGACGATGCCTCGCCTCTCCCCGGGCTCCTTCTGCCCCGCCTGCGCTGCGCTGCGCTACGGCTGCTTTGCTCCGGCCAGGCGAGGGGGAGGGCAGGGCAGGGGGACGGGGGGAGGGGGGGGAGGAGGAGAGAAAGACCCATTCAGGGGCACCTCTGCCAACCAACCCCTGCAAAGCATACACTCCCCGAACCGGTGGTCGTGCCCTGCTATGGTGTGTGTATTGTGGAAGGCGATCCACGACTTAACAGATAACAGATCATCAGAGTTGGAAGGGACCTTGTAGGTCATCTAGTCCAACCCCCTGCCCAAGCAGGAGACCCTACACCATTTCTGACAGATGGCAGTCCAGTCTCTTCTTGAAAGTCTCCAGGGATGGCGCTCCCACAACTTCTGAAGGCAACTTCTGTTCTGTTGGTTGATGGTTCTCTCTGCCAGAAAGTTTCTCCTTATTTCCAGGTTGAATCTCTCCTTGATCAGCTTCCATCCATTATTCCTTTTCTGGCCTTTGGGTGCCTTGGAAAATAGCTTGACCCCCATCCTCCTCTCTGGGGCAGCCCCTCAAATATTGGAAGACTGCTCTCCTGCCTCCCCTGGTCCTTCTCTTCCCTAGACTAGGCAGGCCCAATTCCTGCAACCGTTCATTGTATGTTTTAGTCTCCAGTCCCCTAATCATCCTGGTTGCTCTTCTCTGCACTTTTTCTAGAGTCTTAACCTCTTTTTTTACAGTATGGTGACCAAAACTGAATGCATTATTGGTGTGGTCTTACTAAGGCTTTATACAGTGGTATTGATCCCGATTGTATCTCTCTGTTAATGCAATTTAGGATTGCGTTGGCTTTTTTGGCTGCCGCTGCACACGGCTGGCTCCTATTTAGCTGGTTGTCCACTAAGACTCCAAGATCCCTCTCACAGTTACTGCTATTGAGCCTGGTTTCAGCCAGTCTATAAGTGTACTTTAGGTTTTTCTAGCATAAAACAACTTACAACAGCTCATTCAGTTTGAAGTTACAACTGCATTGGAAGAAATGATATAGGACGGTTTTTCTCACTTATGGCCGTTGTAGCGTCTCACTCGGTTGCGTAATCTGACTCGCCTTTACGATGGTTGCAATGTCCCCCAGGTTCATGCGATCCCTTTTTGTGACCTTCTGACAAGCAAAGTCAATGGGGAAGCTGGATTCACTTAACAACCGGTGCAAGAAAGGTCATAAAATGGGGCAAAAATCACTGAACATATGTCTTGCTTAGAAACAGAAATTTTCGGGCTCAATAATGGTTGTAAGTCAAGGACTACCTGTATTGTGTTGTATTGTATTGTATTGTATTGTATTGTATTGTATTGTATTGTATTGTATTGTATTGGTATTCTATTCTATTCTATTCTATTCTATTCTATTCTATTCTATTCTATTCTATTCTATTCTATTCTATTCTATTCTATTGAATTGCATTGCATTGCATTGCATTGTATTCCTTTCTACTGAATTGTATTGTATTCTATTCTACTGAATTGTATTGTATTCTATTCTACTGAATTGTATTGTATTCTTCTGAATTGTATTGTATTCTATTCTACTGAATTCTATTGTATTGTGTTCTATTCTATTCTATTCTATTCTATTCTATTCTATTCTATTCTATTCTACTGAATTCTATTGAATTCTATTCTATTCTATTATCCTATCCTATCCTACCCTATTCCCTTTATTATAGTTTAATTGTACTATATTATTACAGCTCCTCCTCGACTTAACCATCATCCGTATAGCAACTATTCAAATTCACAATAGCACTGAAGAAAGGGACTTGTGACACATCCTCACACTTATGACCATTGCAGCATCCCTGTGGTGTCACTTTTTTCAGTGCTGTTGCCGTTTTGAACAGCCGCTGAAGCAGTCCTTGTGAGTCGAGGACTACCTGGGATGAAAAACCAGGTTCATAACAGAAAACAAGAACCAGTTTTCTTGACTTAGCCAGATGTCTATCAACAACTAGAGAAAAATAGCGCCAATTGGAACGACACTCGGTTGTGTCATGGAAGAAGGAAGGGATTGCCAATTTGCAAGGTGGGGTTCCTGAAGCAAAATTATAATTTAATCACACGCGTGTTGATGGAAGGGCATCACGGCCCGATTCGATGCCAGCTTTTCATTTCAGATCAATATGTCAGATGTCACTGAGAAGAAGAAAAAATATTCATCACAACAAAATGGCTGCATTGTCTTTGAGGCTGCTTAATGGCCCTGCACAACATAAGCTTAGAAAGACTTAACACCAGAGCTGGGTTTGCCATTTTATGCCAAACGGGTGCTGTAAAAAAAAAAGAGAGAGATTGGCATTTTTTCCTTTCCTGTTTTTACATTTTGTTCTGGAAGAGAAAGCTCACCCAACTTTTCTCATGAGCTGAAAAGAATGGAAGGTAGAAAGGAATTTAATCGCGCATAGAGACACTCTAAAATGGGGAATCTTTCCCAAGAAATCCTCTTTGTTTTTCTTTTTCTTTTCATGTTAGGGATGGAAATTATGCTCTGATGCTCCTTTCTGTGCCAGAACTGCAATAATACAAGTTATCAGTGTTAAGAAAGGACCAGCTAATATTTAATAGAATGGGAGGCCTGGTTATGAGTCACTTTTTTTATTGTGTCTTTGCTGAATGAATGGTTGTAATTTGAGGACTCCTTAATCTTCAAAAATAGAGTTGACATTCTTGAGTTACATCTGGTGGTTTAGTCTCTCTCTCTCTCTCTCTCTCTCTTTTCCCGTCTGTCTTTCTCTTTCTCTTTCTCTGTCTCTGTGTCTCTCATTTTCTATCATCTATTTATCTATCTATCTATCTATCTATCTATCTATCTATCTATCTATCTATCTCTTATCTATCTATCTATCTATCTATCTATCTATCTATCTCTTATCTATC